CATTGAATACTGTTTTTCTTACATGGCTCAGTGATATGTTCCATCTGTTTAAAACCCGTTGAAACATCTGCAGGCTTCGGGTGACATATGCGTGTTATATGTTTAGAGAAGTTGAGCATCTGTTCATTTTACTGAACCCTCATTTGTCATCCGCAACGGGAGAGTCCATTATATATATACATATATATATATATTGATGCATGATTCATTAAATAATATAAACAAGATTTGTCTATTTTTTTAAGTAAGTTCCTTTCATATTGTCTGATAAGCTTAATAACATTATCATTGTAAGACGAAAGGAAATCACCATATTGATACACGTTTAAATCCAGTCTAAGCTTTCGGCTTACATAAGCCATTATTAAAGATGACAATTACTTTTCAATATATCAACCAATACACGGACGAAACAATAATCTGTTTTGTGGCATAAAAATTTCAAAGCAACGACTAAATCGTGTATACGAGACGCGGAAGCGAAAATCGCGTCGCAGCTCGTGATGTCACACATGACCACGCGAGAGTGAAAACAAGAAGTATTAAGTATGGGAAGCCGTTGGTATAAACCAGTGGCTTCTGTTATCAATTATAGTCATTTAAGAATATTTGTGAAGATTTCGTAGTTTATTTTGTTCAGGTAGGGTTTCAACTGTTTTATGTATATAGCTTCAAGAATTTTTAGTTTTTGCTTATTGTTTCATGTTTAAATATAGTTATGTTTTCAACAAGGTTTTTCCGGAATTGTGTACGCGGCCAGGCATGTTGTTTTAAATGCCTAAAAATGTTAGAGTTATCTTTCAAATGTAGAATCAAGCGTCGTGAAAGCGAGCTTGTTGCGTGACCAACATAAATATGATTTAATCCACTGGTGATAGAATCTTCTAAAGGTCACTTGAATTTGTAAAGTATGTTAGTTTTTTGAAAATCGCTAACGGGGAGGGGTAAGAATCTTTGCGAATTATTTAATGAAACATGCATCAATGAAACATTGCTGCCTATATATATATATATATATATATATATATATATATATATATATATATATATATATATATATATATGTCCGATTTATTTAAAATTGGCATGGCTTAGTGGAAAATGTCAGACTTTGATTAAGATTCTAATTCAATTTCTTCCACATTTTTTTTTTTACTGCCAAGTTACGTGTTGTCTTCGGGACTTGTCCCATTTTTCCTTCCTTTGTAAAGGACTGTTTGTCCTGTCTGAGTAGAAGTTCTGTGATTCACAAATTCAAATAGCAGTTCGCAACTGAATATATATGACGAACGTGTCAAAGGTTGGAAACTGTTGGGTCAAAACGTACCTGCATTTATTAGATTTAATCGTCATAATCGCACTCGTGTTCCGCAATCTGCATACGAATCTTCGATTGGACAACACATTTGGGAGAATAACGCACTTCCAAATTTTCTAACAACTCATTTCCTATTTTGCATATGGCTCGTTCTAAATGCTATTTTCAAGTGTTGGAAGCTGTATCTATTAAATTACAGCAACCTTATTTATGTAAGCAGAAGGAGAATTTTCTTCGGTCGCTTCAGTTATTTGGAGGATCAGGAGTATTAATTCTTTTCAGATTTTACACTCTCGCTGGAGTACTTACAATTTTTGAATTTACGTATATTTTAATCATTAATTTACATCTTTTAGACGTACTAAAAATCTTCCTCCATATTACTGATCTATTCAGAGCAACTTTGATACAATAATCTGGCCAACGTATGTCCCTAACGAAGTGTTCGTCTAAAGGCGCCTTGGTTAAAACAAAAAGAAATGAAAAATGAACACTTGTTTAAAACAATGCACACACACGCGCACGAGCGCACATATATATATATATATATATATATATATATATATATATATATATATATATATATATATATATGTGTGTGTGTGTGTGTGTGTGTGTGTGTGTGTGTATTTAGGCAGCAATCCTTCTTTCATGCACATTTCATTGAATACGACAGTCAAGGTGTTTTGTTTTAGTTTTTATACAATTAAAATCTTCAGACACACTGGGTTATAGATAAATATTTTTTCGCTTTTATTATTATTATTTCATTTAGATTCTTCGACTAGTTTCGTCCAAAATGGCCATCATCAGGAGAAAAATAATTTTCTGCTTGCTGGTAGCAGTAAACTACAGAAATGAATGTATTGATGGAGAAAATGAACTTTTGTCTGTAGTTTGCATTTGTTTTTTTTGGTTTTTTTTTTTTTTGGTTTTTTTTTTCTTTTTTTAACATGAATCTTTTAACATTCTCTTTTAAGTTGTTATTTGAGATAAGAGCTGGATGGATCCATGCTGCTCTGAATACCTTTGGTCAGTTTGACAGTTTTATTGGTTCCTAGAGAGGGGATGTATCTCTGTTAAGTGTGTGTGTGTGTGTGTGTGTGTGTGTGTGTGTGTGTGTGTGTGTGTGTGTGTGTGGGCGTGTGTTATTTGGTTCTTGGGGAGTGAGTATGCATGATATGTGTAAGCGTGTGTATATTGCTGTGGGTGGGTGTTATCATTTGGCTCATTAGGGAGTGAGTCAGTATGATGTGTGTAAGTGTGTATATTCGTGCGACTGTGTGTATAAGTGTGAGGCCTCAAATATATATATATATATATATGGGAAACGATATACAAATTGTGATATATTAAGAACAATTTTAGGGAAATCTATGACGAAGAGGAAAAAATTTTCATGTGACGCGTTTCGTTCTTTAGGATTTCCTCTGACTAAAGTTATGTTAACGTTGATACGAATCGAAATGTGCCCGAAGGTGAGCTGACGCTGAAAATCTTAAACTTTATTTGTTTATAAATATATGTTTTATTTATATGACGCGTTTAGCGAGGGACATTCAACATTTGATAATTTACGGCAACACTCGCTTAAAGGTTTTAGGCAGTTTTGATCAACATTTCTTTTCATTGTTAGCCGTAAGGAATTGTAAATACAGGAATACCTTACACTTAAGTAAAATAATAATAATATTTATAAAAAGAATTATTACAGGAAATATCAAGTCTTACGTAAACATCGTTGACAATTATGTATTTAGTTATATAACAAATAAATGAAAATAATATAAATTTGGATGCTATATTCGATTTGTTGTTAAGTATTTTTCCTGTTCTTCTTTGCTATTGGCAGCATTTTAGAATAAATTGGCTGCAATGTGAAGTTTTCTAAGTTGAACAAACTGGAGCTATTTCGTTTACGCTTTGTTACCTTTCTTTTCCATTGTTGTTTTAAGATCGTTTTCTTCCAGTCATTTTGATGGGCAATAGCGAAATCCTGAAATTCAGAATGATCTTATTCCATTTCAAAAATAAAGCCAGTAAAAAGGAATATTTTAAATTAATATACGACCAAAAATAAAACGGTTTTGACCAAAAACCTTAATGATTTCATTATAATTATATAACAATAATGTAATGATATTCCGCAGACATAGTTTATGTTACCTCATCTTATTCCATGCTCACGAAATATAAGCCTAAATGGAGCTTGAAATATTGTTTAATCGGCTCTAATTTTTCGTAAAATAATTGGATATGATATAATGAATAATTTGCAGTGAAAAATAGCAATTTTCGACTTTTTTATGGAATATGCCACTCCTCCGTCGAACGTGTCACATGGTCTAGCTGGTTTCATCTGGATTTTTATGTTTTTATAACTTTTATTATTAAATAGCCTACATTGTGATAACAGATCTGCTATGAAAGGTAGAATGTCGTAAGAAACTGGACGTAAATTTACTACGTATGATATAGTGATTAAAGCACTTTCTATACATTTTAGTATTAGTAAACAGTTTTCTCATTTAGTTAAAATCAAAATGATGGCTCATTACAGTGGGTATCTAATGCATTGACTGTGTTCTTTTGTAAAAGTGCACTTTTGTGTTCATAAAATTTTTTATTTAAATCCCTTGAGGTTTCTCTTATGTATTCCAAGTGGGAATTATTACAGGTGATACAATAAAGCCCTCCCACCATTTTCATTAGATATATCTAAATATAGAGAAAGAGTAAATTCCTACTTCAATATACAGGAGGATTGAAAACTAGCTGCCCGGTTTAAAATACTTATAATTTATTTATTAACGATAGTTTTTTTTACAAGAAATGGATATGACAGAAGAGCGTTTAGCATGAGGTCTTATTTAGAATTCGATATGGACACTAGATTTCGTCACCAACTTCGCCATCAGCCCAGGAATCGCGTCAACTGATTTCATCAGGAACTCTTGTGGTATGGATGACCTAAATTCTTGTATTGGACTTTCAAGTTCTTCCAAAGTATTAGTATAGTAGATTTGCTCCTTTAACCAACCCCAGAGAAAAACGTCCCAGGGTATTAAGTCAGGACTTCTACCTGGCCAGGCATACATGAAATTAAATATGAAAATTAAAAGCTGTATAAGTTCTTCCTTTAATAGGCAAGTACTTTCAACTGTATATTCAGTCATCTTCAGGCATGGAAATTACTTTCTTTTTTGGTAAAATTCAAGTAGGATCCGATACGAAAAATTAAATGCGAATCGAAATATGTTTTCTTTGAAATGTGTTATAGTTAACGGATACAGTCGCAACGCTAAGGTTGAACTTTTTTATTTTTTTTTTACTAATATTGCGTATTAAAGAAAGATTTTATACCGCTCTTAATCTAAAAAAAAAACAAGGATCATAACATTCATCGAGTGATTTGTAGGTTAATGCACCTTTTAAAATTTTGTTTACGAAGGGATTTGGCCATTTTATATCATTAACTTTACTACTTTTTGTATGAAATTGATTATATATATATATATATATATATATATATATATATATATATATATATATATATATATATATATATATGAAGAAATATATATATATATATATATGAAGAAATATAGAAATATATATATACATATTTCAGTAGTTTATTCTCTTATCTGAATTTATTTGAGGAGTTTTTATCCATCGAGACTAAAGAAAAACACGTTTCGCTGCGTCCACGAGCAGACAGTTCGAACATCCTTTTCAATCAATTTCTATGGGGGATTAATCAAATATCATCTTAAAGTGATTGAATTTCTGAGACGAACTACTCTCTTTATTAATTCTTGACGAGTTTTCTTCAGCTTATTGTTCCTTTTTGTCACGGCGTTCGGGTCTTTGCATTCTTAACCTCATCAAAACGGCATTGCCAATATTTTTCGAGTTGAAATAAATGTCTTTCTATGATTTGCCTGCACGCTAACAGAAAGTGATAAAGAACAAAGGTTAAATAATTATTTTCGGCTTTTTTAAAAAAATAAATTAATATACAGTGTGTCCAAAAAAATTTGGCATCATTTAAAAAGCAATCTTGAAAACTATTATGTGTAGATCAATGAAATTGAACAGGTTTAGGTGTTGAACATCATAAGTTTATTATGGAACCGATTTCATAAATGTTCAATATGTGCACCGCCTGTGACACAGCACATGTCATGTTATGCACTTGCCAAACACGCAGATGTTAATGATAGTCTGCTGGATCATTTAACCCTACATAAGAAGCCTTCCTCTTTAAAGGTACCAAGTCCAAATTTGTTTTGCCTGCTGCTGAAGCTTTTCCAAATTCTGCATTGAAGGCACGCTGCACAATCTTGGGTTAGTGTATGCGAGCATATTCCAAAACACAAAATGACTTCCTTTTAGGAGTGAACGGCATGGATCAACCTGAAAAGTGAACAAAAATAAAACATTAAATATTAAATCTTGATCTATTTCTATACATTTTGTGAAACATTTGAGGTTATTTCAATAAAAATTTCCAAAATTATTGGCTTGATGAATGATATTCAATTTTTTGGGTATCGGTATATATATATATATATATATATATATATATATATATATATATATATATATATATATATATAATAAAATGTTGCATTTTATTATTGTTATATTTTTTAACATAATATGCATTATTATTATTATTATTATTATTATTATTAAACAGAATTATTGGCGTAACTCTTGTAATATTTTTCAACAGTTAAGAGAAGAACTCGATTTAAAAAGATAAAGAAAAGAAAAAATATAGTGTTTGACAATGTTAAACGATATTTCAATAATAATAATAATGCTCTGTTTATCACAATAATAATAATAATAATAATAATAATAATTATAATAATAATAATGCTTTATCACAATAATTACAAAATTGATTAAAGAAAAAATATCGTTTAGAAAAAGCAAATTTGTCTTGATAAAAAGGACGAAACGCATCGACTACGATGTTCCACTTTTGTCTTCCTTTTGTTTACAGATATAAGTTTAGATATATCTAATATATACAGGGTATTCCAAAAAAAATGGCATCATTTTAAAAGCAATTATCTTGAAAACTACTAAGTCTGGCTCAATGAAATTAAACAGTTTAGGTGTTGAACATCATAAGTTTTATTATGGGACCGATTTCATAAGTGTTTAATAAGTGCATCGTCACAGTACACGTCAAGTTGGTAGTTAAGGTTTTGCCAAACACGCTGTAGCATGTCTCCGGTAATATTATCCAGTGCAGAAGTGATTCTCTGCTTCAGTTCATCAATGCTAGCAGGAAGAGAGGGGGGCATAGACCAGTCACTTCACATATGCCCATAAAAAGAAATCACACGGAGACAGGTCCGGTGACCGCGGCGGCCATTTAATCAGCAAACTGTCTTCATCTCCACCAGGCAAGATCCCTCTCTCTGGCAGATTCTCTTTGAGATAAGCATGCACCCTTCCATTAAATATAAAGTCTTGATATGTTTCTATACATTCTTTGAAAACTTGAGGTTATTTCAACAAGAATTGCCAAAATTATCGGCCTGCGAAATGATGCCAAATTTTGGGGAACACTGTATTATAAATGAACTCGCTAAAAAAAAAACCTACAATCATGGATAACAAATTTGGAAGTTAATCAAATAATACTATAAAATCAGTAACGTACGATAATTTTCTTTTCTATATGCCATATCCTTTCAAGGCGTTGGTGATCATGGCTCTCCACAATTTCATTATTTTTGTTACACTGTTCTTGTGGTAGTTGTTCCTCCATCCATTTGCTCAAATTTTTCGAGTAGGTTCTTTCTCTTTCTTTCGATATGTTAGGTCACTTCAGGGCATTGGTGATCATGGCTCTCCACAATTTCTTTATTTTTGTTAAACTGTTCTTGTGGTAGTTGTTCCTCAATACATTTGCTCAAATTTTTTGAGTAGGTTCTTTCTCTTTCTTTCGATTTGTTTGGTCACTTCAGGGCGTTGGTAATCATGGCTCTCCACAATTTCCTTATTTTTGTTACACTGTTCTTGTGGTAGTTGGTCCTCCATACATATGCTAAAAATTTTCGAGTAGGTTCTTTCTCTTTCTTTCGATTTGTTTGGTCACTTCAGGGCATTATTTTTGTTACACTTTTCTTGTGGTAGTTGGTCCTCCATACATATGCTAAAATTTTTCGTAGGTTCTTTCTCTTTCTTTCGATTTGTTTGGTCACTTCAGGGCATTGGTGATCATGGCTCTCCACAATTTCCTTATTTTTGTTACACTGTTCTTGTGGTAGTTGGTCCTCCATACATATGCTAAAATTTTTCGTGTAGGTTCTTTCTCATTCTTTCGATTTGTTTGGTCACTTCAGGGCATTGGTGATCATGGCTCTCCACAATTTCCTTATTTTGTGGTAGTTGGTCCTCCATACATATGCTAAAATTTTTCGTGTAGGTTCTTTCTCTTTCTTTCGATTTGTTAGGTCACTTCAGGGCATTGGTGATCATGGCTCTCCACAATTTCCTTATTTTTGTTTTTGTTCTTGTGGTAGTTGGTCCTCCATACATATGCTAAAATTTTTAGGTTCTTTCTCTTTCTTTTCGATTTGTTAGGTCACTTCAGGGCATTGGTGATCTTGGCTCTCACAATTTCCTTATTTTTTGTTACACTGTTCTTGTGGTAGTTGGTCCTCCATACATATGCTAAAATTTTTCGTGTAGGTTCTTTCTCTTTCTTTCGATTTGTTAGGTCACTTCAGGGCATTGGTGATCATGGCTCTCTACAATTTCCTTATTTTTGTTACACTGTTCTTGTGGTAGTTGGTCCTCCATACATATGCTAAAATTTTTCGTGTAGGTTCTTTCTCTTTCTTTCGATTTGTTAGGTCACTTCAGGGCATTGGTGATCATGGCTCTCCACAATTTCCTTATTTTTGTTACACTGTTCTTGTGGTAGTTGGTCCTCCATACATATGCTAAAATTTCTCGAGTAGGTTCTTTCTCTTTCTTTCGATATGTTAGGTCACTTCAGGGCGTTGGTGATCATGGCTCTCCACAATTTCTTATCCTTCTTAGCTCTTGATAAATGTTGTAATTTTTAAATCTCCTTAACCCTGTTCTACCATACTATTTTCACTCGGCAGGGAATGAGTTAATTTCCTCGATCCTTCAGTATCTGTTTATATTTCTGAGATGAGGTATTATGTGTGAGTTCAATACCCGGCTAAGGCAGTGGGGAACTTTCAGAGGGAAATTAACGGGAGATAACTGATAACTGACATCCATTAGACATGACACGTGGAACTAGATTAGCCTACCCCAGTGAACGAAATAAAGGTTTCAGTTCGACATTCCAACTACCTGAAGGCCGGAGCTTACAAAAGTTGTAATAAATATGGCGACAAAGTTGATGATAATAGTCAGAATAATATAAATAATGTTCACCGATCCTTCTTGTCTTCAATCTGTCTTGTGAGTATCAGATTTTCCAAGCGCTCTTTTCTCATTTATGTTTCCTAGATGTTTCAAATGTCTCGTCTTGATCTTAAATATAAGTTTCCGTTCTGTTTCCTTTTATTCTAAAACTTTGTCAATCCTCACATGTCTAATGCGTGGCATTCTCAGTATCCTTCTGCAGAACCAAATTTCTGTTGCTTGAATTTACTTTTTCATTTGTACTGGGATTATCCAGCACCCACTGCTATATAGAATGACTGATATTACATAAGAGTTCAGAATTTGTACTTTCTATGTGGATCTGTTCATTTAATTGAAGTTAAAAATCAGAATAAGAAATAGCATTAAATAATAATAGATTCCAAACAAAATTAGAATATTGTTATGGGATCATACCCATAATAATAATAATGAACTATTCCATATTTAAATAATACTGCGCCTCGGGAGTAGGCAAGGAGTCACTCGTTCACTTTCTGAGCAACTGTTCAGTTAAACTCTTCCTACGGGCAGGAGGAACTTCGAAGGAGGCTACGCCGAAGGGCGGAGTCTCCTTCGGAAGGTAAAAGGCCCTGAACCCGTTTATACGGGTTCGTGGCCGAGATGGAGGAATTGCCCACGTTAAAAAGGCCCACATGACACCCTCGTGGGGGGTGAGAATATTGTCCCGTTCACTTTTGACCGACTGTTCGGTTGAACTCTCTGCCTTTGGGCGGGAGGAACCCGAACGAGGCTACGCCGAAAGGGTGGAGTCTCGTTCGGAGAGGTAAACCGGCCCTGAGCCCGTTTATACGGGTTCAATGGGCATATTTACAGCCGAGCCCACGGGCTCGGAGATCACACATTAAATAACCACCCTTGTGTCACATGATGCAGGGTGGTGACTGAATATCGTCAGTCAGTCGTTCAAGTCTTGATCGGCTGATTGGTTGAACTCTCTGCCTTCGGGCGCGGAGGAACCCGAAGGAGGCTACGCCGAAGGGCGGATTCTCTTTCGGGGAGGTAAACCGGCCCTGAACCCGTTTATACCGGTTCAATTGGCATATTTTGGGCCGAGCCCACGCGCTTGGATATCCCACGTTAAACCGGCCTTGTGCCACACGATGCCCTCGGGGGGGGTGACTGAATATCGTCAGTCGTTCAAGCTCGACCGGCTGATCGGCTGAACTCTTTGCCTTCGGGCGTGGAAGAACTGAAAGAGGCTACGCCGACGGGCGGATTCTCTTTTGGGGAGGTACACTAACACTGAACCCGTTTATAAGGGTTCAATGGGCA